ATGTTTTGTCTTCACGTCATTTTCATTGCCATACGTAATCCATTTTGTAAAGATTTTTACAGACTTCTAGTTTGTTTACACATTTTTAAAAAATTGACTACAGTTATCATAATGTTGACTTTGTGTGTAAACAATGTGCACCTAAAAACATTGAAACTTCCTCAAAAAATGAACAGCTCTCTGTTTTGTACATCTGCATTTGGGAAAGATTTTCCTAAGATCTCAGCTCTTTGGGCAACTATATATGTGAAGGGACCCATTGTAGTTTTCAACTGACATCATCGAAAGACTTAGATTGTCTGTCACAGTATTTCAAATGACTGCAGTCACAAATCTAGGTGCACACAATTACGAGTTATAGTGCTGGACATTTGTACATTTCACTTTTTTCATATATTTTATTATGAATATGGTTTGTTTACTCATAAGTGCTGTAACTGTGCAACTATTTTTAGTACACCTGTTTATGCTTGCCAAAGTGTGTTATTATTACCTATTTTATTATAGAGTGGCCTATGAAGTATTCACTCATATCTTCATGTTTCTCAAATACATCCCTTTTAAAAATGTAAATAAATATATTTAAAATTCTTGAAATTATTTTTTCCAAAATTATACTTTGGGGATCTTTTAGGATTTAAGCCTTTAGGAATTTTCATCTTTTAGGAATGTCAACATTTAGTTCTTTGTCTTTTGGGATTTTGGTCCAAAACTGATTCCTATAAATAAACACGTGAATGCATAAAATTACTTTCAAAAAATCTTTCAGGGAGCTTTATGAACATTGTTTTTCTTGCACTGGTGTAGCTTGAGTATTTGTTTCCAGAGTATTAAACAGCAAGGGTCCAGGTTAACAGTCAAATAGTCACTTTATGTTTAGGGATTTGGTGAAGTCAAGAGACAGTGTCTCCATCCCTGTTTTTTAGAAATCCAAGTCTAAAAGGAAGATCATGAAAATCTCTGCTATTTTAACATTTTTAGTAGGCCATTAAGTATGCTCTGCAAACAAAACACCGAAGTTTCCAGGAGAAGCAAGGCAAAGCTCAGGGACCTTACACCATGAGTCAGCCTCTTGAAGCCACCTTCTCAGTGCCACAGATGGAGGCTGATGAGTCTGTACCCAACAGAGATAGTGCAATGGGGGAAGTAGGTGTAGTTCTGGTCCAGACCTACTGGTATAGATCTGCACTTTGGCCAGTGGATATTCAATCCTATGTCACTCCCTTTGGTTTCCCAAGTCTGCTGGCTTCCAGGTTTGGAGTTTGTAAGGCAAACAATTGAATGCTTATGGTTATCAAATTACCATCAACATAAATCCTTTTCAAACTCTAGTCTACAGTATGTATTTTATTAAGGAGTGGTCACTGGAGGTGGAATAAAATCCAAGCTCACACCATGACCTGTGCGACCACATGTGCTTTACTTCCTGCCCACCTGCTCAAACCTATCTTCTGTTATGTTTCTTCCATTCTTACCCATGTGTCCTACATCATTGGCCCTTATGCTCTTCAAATAGCTAAGCCATTTCTCATTCGGGGTCTTTGCTGTTGCTGTTTACTCTGCCTGGTACACTTTTCCAGTAAATTATATAATTAACTTTTCATCTTACTGCATGCATTATTTTTGAAACAATAATTTTGCTAGCTTTTTCAGGCAAATGTGGCTTTAATTCATTAAAACTTCCTGGAATTTCCTCAGATAGAAGAAATGCCAATGCAGACAAATGACAAATTCTAAAACCAAACTTTGTTATTGACATAGGCAAGAAATGAATGGACAATCCCGTTCTCAGAGTTTGGCTTTCTATCCCTTTTTATGCAGCTCCCCGCCCCCCCCCCCCCACACACACATTTTTTTCCCCATGGAAATTATGGTCTTGGGGATTTGGGGCTTTCAGGATTTATCATTTGGGATTTTAATCTTTCAGGATTGTGATTTTTGGGATTTTAGTCTTTAGGGATTTTAGACTTTATAGATTTTGATCTTTCAGGATTTCAACATTTAGGATTATGGCATTTGGGATTCTATCTTTTGGCATTATGATTGGCACCAGCATGGATCGCTTATGGGACAACTGATCTTCAGGAACTAAGGGGAAAAATTGAGGTAGCTTGGGTTTGTTATATATAAATGTTGAAAGAGTTCATTCATTCTTTCAGATTTTTTTTTAGCACTCTCTATGTATTAGGATCTGTACTAGATTCTGGGAATTTAACAGTAAATAAGATAAACTCTGTGCTAATAAGGAGTTTATACTCTAACAATAACAACATTCGATGCTTATATTCAATACCCGGCACATTGACTCTTTCAGTAGGGAAGCTGGACCAATAAAGAAGTTAACATACAAGAGATAATAATAATTGCTGTAAAGAAAAATAAAGAAGGGCATGGTACAGAAATGAATACAACCTGAACATGTTTATGTTCCAATCCTCAGATCCTGTGATATGTTATTTTATATGGCAAAAGGGACTTTGAAAATGTAATTGAGTTAAGGATATTCATGTAGACCTAATGTAATCAATCATAGGATATCAGAAGGAGAGAGAATGAACAAAGTCAAAAGTCAAAGAAAAAGAGAACTAAGGACAGAAACAAAGAGGGCAGAAGGTACCTAACAGGTGGCTTTGAAGATGGAGAAAGGGGCTATGAGCAAAGAAACACAGATGATCTCTAGAAGCTGGAAGGAGTGCATTCTCCCCTGGAGCCTCCAGAAGGAATGCCTCTTGGCTGACACCTTGATTTTACTCCAGTGAAGTTGATTTGGATTTCTGACCTCCAGGAATATAAGATAATATTATGTGTGTGTGATTTTTTTTAAGCACTGAGTTTGTTGTAATCCATTTACAGCAGCAGAAAACCAATACACAGTGTTAGAGAAGGTAGATTATTGGGGTTACTCAGAAATGGCCTCTTGAGGAGGTGACATTAAGCAGAAAAGTGTGCAAAGTGGGGAGTAAGACATTTGGCTGGCTATGGGAGTGGGCAGGGGGAGCATTCTAGCCAACAGGAACAGCAAGAGATAATGCTCCAAGAAGGAAGTATGCTCAGTGTGTCTGAGTACCAGAATGAACAAGAGGAAGAAGTTAGTAGATACCTTAGGGAGGTAGATGGAGGCCAGATTATGTAGAACTTTGTAGCTTTGCTAAGCATTTTGATTATATTCCAAGAGTGATGAGAAGTCACTGGAAGGTTATAAGCAGGGAGTGACATGCTCTTGTCACTTTTAAAGACATGATACAAATGCTAAGTGGAAAATAGATTCTGAGCTGGAAGTATCAATACACCTGAGAGGTGCAGAACCATAGGCTAAGATGAGAGGAGGCTGAAAAGAGTATATATTGAAGATGAAGTGGACCAGATTTGCTAGTTGATTGGAAGTGAAATATAAGACAAAGTGGGAGATAAGAATGATATCAGAGAGTCTGATAACACTATTTGCTGATTCAAAATATTCTGGGACTATGACGAAAAATCATGAATTTTGTTTTAGATGCTATTGGATAAGTCAGTAGAGGTGTCAGTTTGGCAGTTGGACATAATATCTAGAGTTCAGGAGATTAAATTGGATGGATGCCATCTCTTTTGCAGCATAGGTAGTGTATAAAGCATGGAACTGACGTGTGTCAATCTTGAGCACAGGGCTCTGGGGCATTGCACTTTAGTTCCCTGGAAGAGGGCATCTCATCTATTGGGGAAAAAATGGAACATGGTCCTTATTACTTCCATATTTAAGGCAATTCCATGCCAATGTTTTTGACTTCTGGCCTGACTGAAGCTTGAAAAATGGCAACTTGGCCCTGTGCAAAGGTCTTAAGAAGTAGTCATTGCCTTGGCCTATTTGCCCTGGCTCTCAGTGAGCTTTTAAAATGCCAGTGAGCTATAATCCTGTTGATTGACCCACAGCTGTGAATACAAGATGCTGACTCCAGAAGTGCAACTCATTCTGGAAAGGGCACCATCCCTTTCCCACTAAGGACTGCTGAGAGAGCCACCTGAAGTCTGCATAGGCTTAGCAGCAGCTGCACTTCTACTCAATCAGATCAAACTGAAGTTCTTTTTTGCTTCCCGAGGAACCCTGGGTATTTGTTTTTAGAACACTGAACAGTAAGAATCCTCGCTTAACTGACACACAAGTGCTTTATGTTTGAAAAGGATTTGGCCAGGCCTATGTCTTACCAGAATGACTGGAAAAACTCCTGTTACAGTTAGGTTGTCTTTCTGAATTTGCAGTGTGACGGTGAGGACAAGAAGAGAAGTGGCTGCCTATCTAATGGAATTATTTTGGCACTAGCACACCAGTACTAGATTCACAACTCTCTTTAACTCCTGAATTTTTCCTAGAATTATAATGACCCTATATAAAGCCTCCTGCTTTACCTCCCAGTCCTAACTGGGGACTAACTTTCTCCCTGCATGCTTCCCCACCACAAATTGCTCCCTGTGTTGTTACATTTCTTAATGCAGTTATTCTCAGCCTTTGCTAAACACTGGAATCACCTGGGGAACTTTAAAAAATCCTGAAGTCCGGGTCCTATCCCCAGAGATTCCAACTTAATTGTCTTCCAGTGTGGCCCAGACAATTGGATTCTTAAAAGCTCCCTAGGTGACCCACATATAGCCAGGATTGAGAACCACAGGCCTCCAGACTCTGTTTTCCAGATTAACAACAACCACCACCATCACAACAACAAAAATCGAATTTTAGGAACCCAAACTATGAAGGTTAAAAGTGAAGGCCCCAGGGCTTCTCTTCTTTTACAGGTGACATTACTGAACAGCAGTAGCCTTTTGAAGAACAAATGCTGCTGCTTGTCATCTCTACAATACTGCCAGATCCAAACAAAGGCAAGAGAGCAGAGAAGGTAATATCTTGGGAAAGGTAGGACCCTATATGCTAACAGCATGGGGACACCTTCCTTTAAAACTAAATTTGTCAGAAGCAAATTTGTGTATGCAAAGCAGAAGTTTCAGGAGGTGAGTTCCCACTCTGTCCTAACTGTCTACAGATTATCTCTCCTAGGCATGCAAAAGGAGCCATCACGTAGCACCTCTGCTCTTCAGGAAGCTCACTGGAAAGGAGGTGGACAGAACCTTCCACACTTGCAACTCAAAATGTGCTCTATGGCCAGCAGCCTTCAACTTCGTCTAGTAGCTTCTTAGAAATTTAGTATTTGCTGGGGTTGGGGTTGTGGCTCAGTGGTAGAGTGCTCGCCTAGAAATTTAGTATTTGGGGCCCCCTTCCAGACCTATTCAGTAAGAATCTGCATTTTAAGAAGATGCCCATGCAATATGCAATTCAAAGTTCGACGAGCATTGGTTCATAGGACTCCAGGTAATGCAACGCGCCTAACTCTTTCGAACACCCGAGGCCCAAATGGAGGCAGTCACTTATTTCTCCTCCCGGAGTGGATAGTCTTGTGGTGAGTGGTGGAGAAGCTTGGCAGGACAAGGTGCAGACTAGGTCCAGGGCGGTTCCTCCCGCGCCACGCCTCACTCCTGGGTCTCAGCGGGACGCGCTGTTGCTGTGGCAGCGCCCGGACACAGCAAGAGCAGTGGCTGCTGTGGCCTCCTCCTCTTACTCCAAAGGCCTCCCTGGACCCCAAACTCGGGCCCAGCCTCGGCTCCTCCATGCCACGGAGGAGACGTCAGAGCCGGGTGAGCGCCCAGGAGGGCGGCCGGGAGGAAGAGGCGCCCCCGGAGGTGTCAACCTTGCCCTCAGCGCAGTCGCAGCCCCCACAGAAGTTCCAAGAGACCGCCGATCCGGTTTTGCTCCGGGGCATCTTCGAGATCGGGAGGGGCAGCTGCGACGTGGTACTGAGCCAACGGGCCCTGAAGTGGTGGCCCATTCAGCCCGAGCGCCCGGCGGGTGAGTGCCAGTCCCGGTGCCACAGTCTCCCAGGCGGCGTAGTCTCGGGTGCTTCTGCCCCGCCTCCTCTTCACTCCTCTTGCCTCCTTCCTCCTGCTGTGCCCCGGTAGGCTACAGTGTCCTCCACAGCGCTTCCTCCCTCCCAACTGGGGAAATGTGTGCAACTCCCCTGTCTCCACCAGCCAGGCTTTCCCTTCCCAGGCCACTTCCCGACAGACGTCATGCTCAGTTCCTGCAGAGCGCAGAGAAACTTGAACCCGCAAGGGGAAGTGATTTACAAGTGGTGGGGGGAGGTGATTTACAAGGGGGGAGGACGCCATCTACTCCACCCCACCAAATTGACGCTTCAGTCCAACTTCTGAAGGTACACTAATAGTATAAACCGTTCACAAAGTGTCTAATACATGGGTTCTGAGTCCAACTCTCATTTTAATGTCTCATAACCCCAATATTTTGGGGTTCCGGGATTTGCCCACCCTCACATTCGTTGCCACTGTGGAGCTTGTTCAGGCTGTCTAGAAACTCGATTTTGGGTGTTAACTCAAAATCTGGTTTCCTTGGATTTGCCCTTACTCATTTAAAATTTTAGTGCTATAATACTGCAGTTTACAATAGAAATATTTCAAGTCTTAACCCAGAGATGACTCAGTAGAAAACGTTGGAATTCGACACATAAGCCTGTTTAAGTTAAGTACAACACTACAAAAATTTTTAAAAATTGCCTTTCCCTATTGGTAAACTAGACATCATGGGCTGTTTATGTTATAGAAAGCAGCAGTCACTGTTCTAAAGTTTCTTGTTCAAAAGTCTAACAAAATGAAACCCTCTAGTTGGAACCCAGCATGGGTTGTGGGTGGGAATTCTGTATGTGCTGTCTGTCATGCCCCTTACTGAACTAAATCTATCTTTGACTTTGATTAAAATGTTTTCAGGTGTTTTGAAAACCAAAGTGATTTATTTTCTCCAACCTTTGAAGTTAAAAGCCAGCTGGATGACTATGGAATTATTCTGTGAGTCTTTAAGTTAGCTTAAGTTATGTGATATAGAAGTTTATAATCAGAACCCTAAGAGCCAATTTAACCTACAGTAAAGCTGAAATACTATAGAATTAGAATTAGACATTGTGTGATGAGAAACCATACAAATCAATGTTTCAGTGCTGGTACATGGAAAAGCAAATAATGACATGAAAAAAGAAATGTCATTTTATATTGAGTGGTGACTGAGGAAAAATAGGTTTAATTAGTTCTCCTGGTAATGGAGTTTAAAAAGACAACTTGACAGTTTCATAACTCTAAAGGTTCCAATACTGATTCTTTAGTTTCACCTGAAAACCTTTTGGTTTTCTTTCCTTTATATGAGTGTACTACTTTTTCTTTGTAATTAATGCCTGGCTTTTAAACCACTTTGGGCCTCTAAATTTGGAGCCACAGAAGTTGAATTAATTTAAACTGAACAATGAAAACTAATGAATGAATTTGATTGGAACTGGTGAATTTGGTCATAAAATGGAAGAGAAAACATATCAAAGTTATGGTACTTGGGAGGACATGGAATGATAGGATAAGGTGCAGGAGACCATGTGCATTGATGGTTGATGGGTGACTTGCTGTCCCAGGAAAGGATAGGATGAAGATGTAGAAAGGTCTCTGGGCATTATTAGATCAAACATATGAAATATTTTAAGTCCACCCAGTTTTAAACCTCATAGTGTCTTAGTTGTTTTCACTGAGATAAGATACCATGCAATCTTTTCCTGATTTCCTATCTTGAGCAATGTGAGCAAAGACACTGAAGTGTTTTATGAGGGCTATCACGGCCAAAATTGTGACTAATTGATGGTCTTGCTGGCAGAGTAAATGAGGATAACTATAGTGATTTATGTGCTCTTTATTGGGTTCAAGGGTAACTTGGAATAATGACTGTTACCCTTCCTCACAGAAGTGAGGCTTGTGTGGAGAGCATAAGTCAAGGTGGGAGGTTCAGAAGCATTAGCACTCATCTTTGGTATTATTTTTTAATGGAAGCAATGTTTTTAGTATATTAGTTCTAGTCAATGAATATGTTAACCTAATCAGCAGTTACTCTATTAATGTATATTTGGTACTTATGCTAAGGTGCTTTGCTAGATGCTGTGAAGATGAAAAATGATCTGGTATATTTTCCTTCAGGAAATTGTACTTTTCAGGAAAGACATGTGACTCCAATAAAACCCTGTGTCACCAAACATTAGGAAACTAATAACTTTTTTTGTTAAGTGATATAAAGATCCGTAAGTTGTGGGCCCTGCCTCTAAGTATTTCAATGTGTTTAGAGGGGAGGAATATGTTTTTGACAGGACTCTGATCGTGCAGAAACAATTTGCTGTTTAAGTCACTACTCTCCCCCTCAAAAAAATAGCTGAAAACTGTTTCATGAAGGGTTGTGATTTTGTATTATTTTCCTAGGGTTGTAGTAACAAATCAGTACAAATTTGGTGGCTTAAAATGCAGGACTGTATTTTTTTTCATAGTTTTGGAGGCTACAAGTCATTTAAGATGTCATTAGGGAGCTGGGTGCAGCTTGGGTTAAGTGCTTGTTTGGCGTGTGTGAGGCCTGGTTTCCATGTCCACCCTCCTTCTGAAAGCTTGAGTGGGTCCTCCTTTGCCTCCTTCAGTTCTGGTGGCTTCTGGTATTCCTCAGCTTGTGGCAGCAGAACTGTTGGCTGTGTCTTCACAAGGCCTTCCCCTCCTTCTCTGCATGCCCTATTTGTAAAGGCAGAAATTATTGAATTTAAGATTACCCTAAACCCACAGTGATCTCATCTTAAAATCCTTGACTACATGGCAAAGACTTTCTTTCCCAATATGGTCATATCCTGAGGTCCAACTGCATTGGAGTTTTGGGGAACACTTTTCAATGTAGTAAAAATATGTAAAGGGTGTGGGAGAAAAATTTTAGGTTGAAGTAATAAAGGAAGAAAATAAATGGCTGTCTTCTGGGAATAGTGACTGATAGAGCCTGTCAAAGTATAGGAGTAAGAGAATATTTCACGGGCAAATAGACGCCTGAAGACACAGGTAAGAAGTTTGAGTTTTATTTAGTTCGAAGTGTGAAGTTTTCTCCTAGTTTTTCTTCTATGTTTATCAAAAACTTTTATCTGAGTCTTTATCCCAATTCCTGCCATTGCTGATGGCCATTGCTCTCTGACCTTCTAGATCTCTTCCCTTTTGGTGACTTTCACCTTCAATCCAGTTTGCCACCTGGCTCCATCTTCCCTGGGACATGGATCAGCCCTCTGTGCAGCAATACCACTAGTCAACCTAGTAGGCATGGGTGATTGTCATCTCTCTTCAAAGCCAGTCCATCCCATCTCTCCCACCTTTTCTAGGCAGTTGTCTCCTGTCTTGTGCCCTCCTTCTTAGGTCTGCAGCCTTTTTTCTCCTCTAGCTCTTTTACCTCCCATTTTGATGTTCCCTACCTTGATCTTCTAAATTCCTCTAGCTGATGCTCTGCCCCTTCTCACTTGCTTTGAAAAAAAATGGTTTATTCTCACTGCCTCTTACCTATTCCTCTACCATCTGAGACCTGGTCTCCTTCAATAAAATGGGAAATTTCAGGTTCCACCTATTTGGATTTTTACTTCATTTAACTTTGACTCGGCTCTCTCAGATCTGTGACACCAGGAGCACCTCACTTATTGGTTTCAGATGGGATTTCTTTCTGTCTGCTTGTCAAATGTGGCATTACCAATGAATTTGGTCCGATCTGGTTAATTGTGTACTTTCTGATTTGTGTTGCCCAAAATTCTCAACTACCATTAATTATCATCAGAAACACTATAAATTTTGTATATCCATAAGAAAAACAACTTTTCTTGCTCTTGGTCTTGTTCTGTATCAAGAATATGGAAGTCAGTAATCGCCAGTATATTTAACTTTGTTTCTCAGGTGTATGTAAGTTGTGGTGGAATGTTTAGATGGAGAACTAGAATTTCTTATACCTTACATTGGAATCATGGGATTCCATATAGAAGTAATAAATACTTTGGCTTAATATGTAAAGGACTGATTAGGCAGCCACCTAGAATCTAAATGAGGATTTCAAAGGTAACACCAGCTTGGATGTCCCTCACTTACTACTTCAATCAATCACCAATCCTGCTTCTTCTGTTTGCTAAGTGTTTCTCACATATACCTTCCTTTTCTGTCCAGTCAATCATAACCTTAGCTCAGGCCTTATGATCTCACTTGACCTCTTCCTTTACCTCCCTTGAGCTTGTGCTTATATGTTCCTGGTTCCTTTTACTGCCTTACATTATTTTGATGACATTTATACCCTCATATATGATATGATTTCTGTTGTCTGTCCTCCCCATGACCACCCACTTCAAGAGGACAGGATTTTTTGTCTATTATTGACTATCCTAATAAGAAACAAATGGCATTTCATATTAGGGTGACTTGAAGAGTTTTTAAAAGGTAGTTCAGTATTTATTCTTCCCTTATCTGAGTTTTTTTTCATGGCTTCAGTTACTCACAAAAATACTAAATGGAGAATTCCATAAAAGATTCATAAGTTTTAAATTGTGTGCTGTTTTGAGGAGTGTGATAAATCACGTGACACCAGCTCCATCTTCCCTGGGACATGGATCATCCCTCTGTGCAGCATATTCCTGCTGTGCATGCTGTTTAGCCAGCAGTCATTCAGTAGCTGTCTTGGTTATTAGTAGTATTGACTAGTAGTATTGAATAGTAGTATTGCAGTGCTTGTACATAGGGTTCAGGATTATCTGCAGTTTTAGGTATTTGCTGGGGATCTTGGAACATATTCCCCATGGGTAAAGGGGAATGACTGTATTTTTAAAGGTGTAGGAAGAATGTAAGAATCTTGAAATACTCTTGGGATTAGTGATAAATGGGCAAGTAATACCATTTGTAGGCACAAAATTGTAAACTGAGGGAGAAGGTGCTTGAGCCTGGATTCAGAGACCATGTGGAAGAAGTTACCAGATAGCTCCT